AATCATAAAATGTGTTTTGTATTTATATATCATAGTATTTCCTGTGCTGCCTGTTGATTTAAAGCTTAAATGTCATGGAAATACTATACAAATATAAACTATATATTTACATGTTTACAACATTGTAAACTATAAAAACGGGTATCATTTTCTTTACACAAAATACTTTTCTCTTGATTTTGAATTGAATTTTTTTTTTTTGAGGATTCACCATTGCTGAGGTTAATGAATGCTGGGTAAGCAGGGGTGTGGTTTTGTTCAAACACTACGCAGCGTCACATGATCTTCATTGAGTTTTATCAGTCAGTGTTCTGTGTTGAATAGACCTGTTCAGTAGCTGTTAGGGATGTAACGATTAACTGCGAGCCGGTTGAAAATTGATTCAAATATGTGACGATTCAAATCGGTTGAGATGCTAAACCAATCGCGATTCAATTAGGTGTAGGAGTTTATATGAATGCATGTCTGAGGGCAACTTACTGTCTTTAGAAAAGTTTAGATGGTATTTTTTCTTTTCATCTTGCCTCTGTATAAAGCATATTAAAGTTCGTAAGTTCAGCGCTGCTTGGGGGGCGTGTCAAGATGGCGGAGTGACAAGTCGAACTTTTCACAGGCTCTGATATAATTGTGTAAAAGGCCATCCATTCTTGGTCTACGGTTATCGCATTTATAATTATTTATTTACTTTAATGTTTTTTGTTACTACATTCGTGTGAATTTTTGCTTTTACAAGACTATTCGCTTGCCTTTTTATGCTGCACTCGCTGAAGCGTTATGGCGGGGAAAACTGGAGAACATGCCTATGTTGGAATAGCTTCAGGGGAAGCAGGAGAAGAAACTATTGATACGATGGAGATTGAAGTGTCGTCTGCTAAAGATGTTCGACAGAAGACTATGCCTCACACCCCTCTCAAAAGTCCTGGGCCCAAACGAGTGAAAGCAGTACAGGAAAAGGAAGAGATTTCCACTAGCGTTCTGTACGCCACCATCCAAAGCCTCAGTCGTAAGTTTGACGAGAATTCGGAATACATTTGTGCCTTTGAATTCCAACTGAAAGAGAACACTGATGCCATTGTCAAAATTTCTGAGTCTCTGGATGCCAATACGACGGCGTTGAAAGGCGTTAAGGAGGATGTGGATCATTTGAAATCACAGGTAACTCAGTTACAGAAGGAAAATGACCTGTTGAAACAGAAATGCGTGGAACATGACCGATACAAACGCAGATGGTGTTTGAGGCTAAATGGGGTTCCAGAAAGAGAAGATGAGGATGCCAGAAGGTTGATATTTGATATTCTGTCACAGATCGTCCCTCACTCTCCTGAACAACTGCAGAATACTGTGGACACCGCCTTGGCAAGACCGCGGCAAATCATCATTCAATTTGGCATGAGAATTGTACGTGACATGGTTTGGAGGATGTCGAAAAATGCACCGGTCTGCATGGAGAGAAAAATCCACTTTAGAGAGGATTTCTGTAAGGACGACAGGGAGGCTCATGTTCGTCTATGGCCTAAAGTTGAGGAGGCAAGAAAGAAAAACGTGAAAGCATACCTTCGTGACGGATATGCAGTGATTAACGGTCAGAGAGTGACATCTTAATCCGTGGTGAATGAAGTGATGTGCCTGCTTTTGAGCTAACTTTATTTCTGCGTGGAGAGGTCCTACTGACTATTAAGGCACAGTAACATCTTAATCAAGATCATGCGATTGTAGAGATCCAGTTACTTCATTTAGAATTCTATACAAAGATAATATCGAAAATATTACTTGAACGTCATTCCATATGGCTGTTTTATCGGCCTTAAATGTGTTACTATATGCCTGTGTAAGAGGAACGATATCTGATAGTTAGCAGTTTTTTTTTTCTTCATTCAAGTTTATGTATTTTTCTCTGTTATCTTTAAATGTTCGAGGTATTAGGTGTAATGTTAAACGTAAGGCACTTTTTCTTTTTTGCAAAGAGCAAGTAAAAGTGAATTGTTTCTTTCTTCAAGAGACTCATTCAACCTTTTCTTTTACTGTGAGGCTTCTTCTAAATTTTGGTTCGATATACATAGCTGGTTGTCAGTAAAAATGGAGACAATTCCTCCTATAACCCAACAAGATGTCCTCTTTTTTTAAGTGTGATTTAAATTAATCCTTCTCTGATGTTGTCAATTTTGTTTTGTTGATGGGTAAATATCATATCCATACTTGTAAATGGAAAAAAAGTAAACCCTCCTTCAATATATTTTTATTTGAGTTTGCTAAAATGTTTCAGAGCTTCAAATGCTTCAAAAAACATAATAGAAAATCTGAAAAGTTATGCTTCTCTTTGTCAAATTATTTATTACTTTAGTTTATTTTTTCTGTATAATGTCTACATCGACTACATCTTTGTTTTCATCCTTGCTCCTTGTGTTTATTTATTTATATATATATATATATTTGTTTTTCTTCTTCTTTAATGTAAACTCTGTGTTTGTCTCAATGGAAGTGTCTTGCATTGTTGGTTGTTCCCTGTCTCGTTATGTACATTAAGCAATAAAAAAATAAAAATAAATAAAAAAAAACATTAAAAAAAAAAAAATAAATTAAAAGATAAAATAAATAAAAATAAATTTTTATAGAATAAATATACTAGTTATATGTTTATGTTTATTATGAGCATATTTGCTATTATAACAAAGGAAATTTGGAAACAGGTATGCCTATAATAAATTTAAAAAAATCTAATAAAGCCAGTAAATGTGGATGTGGACGATCATTATTCACGTTTCATAGAATTAAGCAGATAATTCATATCTAAACAGTAGAATATACAGACAGATAATACGGCTAATATTTTCTAATGTTTTTCTAAGGTTATTGTAACTATTCTAGAGCTGTCCAAGGTGCTGAAGACCCTCATACAGTTTGACTCATGTTCAAACTCATCTACATTTATCAAGGGTGTTGGAAGAGAATGTGTAGTTCTTTGTTGGTATGTTGGCTCCAATGAAAGCTCTGAAATCCCTAGTAACCAACCTCTCTGGAGCTTGTGATCATGTTACAAGATGTACAAATGCAGCATGATCTCACAGCATCAAGTCCTGGGTGAGAGGCAGTGTTTTCATAAATGGGCTGCAATGCCTCTTGAAGGGGATTCAATGCCAAATTTGGACAATCTCAAACGTTTGAACACTGCTCAACTTCTGGAGCTCCTGGAAGACGAGGAAAGGATGCGAGAAACAGTCAGACACAATTCAAAGGTACTGTTCAACACCAAACTACACAGTCACGAACGACAAAAAATGAAGCCAAAAAAAATCTGGTTGTCAAAAACGTTAGTTAAACTAAAAATGATATTGAGATTAGCTGATTGCAAAAATTGCTCAGAAAAGTTATAGCTCTGAGAAAATGTCAGGTAGCATTTGTTGCAGATTGCAAAGTGTCTAAATACTTTTATAGTGTCATTGTACATGATCTGAAGGACTTGCCTGCAGTTACAGCATCTTCAGAGGTGTAAAAAGATCTTGATGGCCTCCAACTGTTGGCTTGCAGAGCAGAACTTAGCACATCAGCCACATTTGAACAACTCTAAAAAGCTTTTAGCTGAAAAGTACCAGATTCTTGGTCAAATGGTGTCTTCAGTGCGACGCAAACAGAGAAGTCTGGGTAAGTTCTTGGTTGGCTTGTAATATAATGCTTTTTTCTAATGTGTGTCACTGTATAACTGATCTAATGCTTGTGCAGAAACTTTGCAGCAGAAACTCAGCCTTCGAACGATTCATAAGCTTCTTAGGGAGAAGACCAATCATTCCTTGAGTCAGTCTGAGGTACAGCTGAGATATGTGTTTCATGAAATGCAGATTCAGATTTCAAAGACTTGAAAGAGTGGTTTCAAAGTTTTCATTGAGATTTCTATCTTTAACTCTCCAGAATCTCTGGCAGAAGTTCATAGAAGGAAAGCTTCTGCTGACAGATTTTGTGGAATCACTTCAAAGCTCTCAGATGTTGTGTCATCGACGCCTTTTTCAAGCCGAGAAGATCCATAACCTCATCATACACGCTCAAATATACAATCAAGATGCTGATTTTTGCCGTTTTGGGCATCATCCAAACTTCCTGCACTCACCAACCACAATCAATGTTTTCAGTGGCACCACTCCTGTTATCTTGCTGTCTGGTTTCCAGTATCCTCATTTATCTCCAATATCAAATCTTCCTCCTCTTAAGCATCATGGCTGTGTCGACACATGCTCCACTTTGATATCCAAAAATGAATCGAGCACTGAGACTCGCCGATGGCCACAAAGACATGCTGCTTTACAGCCACTTGACAAGATTCAACCTAACATTTACCAGACTCCCAAGTAAAGGTGTGATGCTGATCTGGGAACTCTACGAAAAAAATAAACATTAAAACAGAAATTTTGTGTGCAATTTGTCATCATTGATGCATTAGTCAAATAAACAAATGCAACCAAGTAATTATAACAATTTTATCATCAAAGCCTCCTCCACTCTATGTAGTAAAATGGTTAATAATTGGTGATGGTTCATAGTTTTCATCTATTATATTTAGCTTAATTTGCTGCCATCTTCTATAGCTCAGAAGCTGTCAGTTGATTCATCTGGTTTAGAAGGTCAACACGAGGACCAGTTGCTTGATTGGACTCATCTCTCTAATTAGAGCTCATTAAACAGGCTGAGAGGGTAAAGGAGAGCTTTTGTCAGGCCGATGGCTTCTTTTGTCTCTGGATAATACTTTGGTTACATCACTGTCAGTAGGTGCCATTGTCTGCAGCAGCTCAAATTGGGCAATTTTCTCATCTGTCAGCTAAAGGCTTCTAGCCTTTGAGCAGCTCAGTCTGACAGACATTAACTGCCCCAGACAACTGACAACATTTATAAGAGGTAAAACTAAATAGTGAGAACAGGACCTTCAAAAACAATTCCCGTAGATGGAAATACAAAATTCTTTATTACAAAAATAGATTCATTACTGAAAATAAACAACTTTTTTTAATGCTCACATTATTAAAATTACTGTTAAAAAGTATACCATATTGCATCATGTAAGAAATAAATAAGGATCCCAATCACATACTTTAAATATAAAAAAATGAAAACAAACACAGAAATCTTGAATGAATGTATTAACTTTCTTCTGTAAATTTCGAAGCAAATATTTTTGCAATTCTTCTAGTCTCTTCACTTCTCTGTGATGGAGGGATGCTTGGTCTTGATCGAGGCATTCTTCTATATAGATTTCCAGGATTTACAGTCTCCTAAAAGAATGAATTTTAATAGCTAAATCATGATAGGCTTAAAAACAAATAAATAATTTTACAAATAAGAAAGCGTACCACGATCCATGAAATTTGTAGATTGTGCTTACAAGATAAAGATTAGTCATTATGGACCACATTTGAAAATGTAGTCACTCATATCTTCTGAATAACGACAATAGACTAGGATAAGCTTAAACAGTAGGTTTTTCAAAAAAAAAAAAAAACCTGGTGTTAAAGGAATATATATGATCAACAGATTTGAGAGGAGGCTTCAGGACAGACTGACAGACATAAAAGACAAACAGACAGATAGAACAATAGATACAATAGAATGATATTTCCACCAACTTGCAACCAAGGGTGTTAAAATACTATTGGGTAAGCTAGCAGTGGGCGGAGTCACACAGACCAAAACAAAAACAGACATTCTGACACAGAACGCATATTTCAAGGTTGAATAACTGGCTGTAGCATTGTTTTTCAGAGAAACAAGTATGTGAACTTAGCATGTTTCCTAAATATCTGCAAACATATTACAGTATTTTTATGCTTTAGTACAGTCAAAAAAAGAATACATACAGCACATTTAACTTTTTCAAGATTACCAAACAGTAGCAGCAGCTTTCATATTGTTCAAAAAATGGGAGAGTACTCACAGATTCAGTTGTTGCCAATGGAAAGACAGGTGCCATCCTCAAAGCCCTCATGGACGCCTCCAGATGGTGAGCCGACAGGAAGAAATTTGGAATCTCTACAGATTCCAAACTGCACAAGGGTGTTTAGATAAAAATAACCCAGATATGTTTTAAGAAAAGCAGAAGTTTAAAACACTTGTCCTACAGACTTCCATTTATAATGGACGTCTATGGGGCAAGTGTCAAAGTTTTTTGTTGGTTTTTACAAACGGAGGCAGATGAAGACTTTTTTTTGTGGTAATCAGCAGCATGCCACATATGCTGTCAAAAGAACTAGAGAAAGAATCGACATTTTCAGGTCATACAAAGCTTGGAAGGATACGGTTTTGCTGTTCTCTCATCACTTTTATCATCTGTTTCAGAACCAGACTCTGCAGAGGGAGGCAAGTTTGGTCTCTCATCGCTTTCTTCAGGTTCACTATTACTTTGTTCATAATCTTCCACCTCACTAATACTAGAAAGAGCACCATCTCCATCCAGACCATCTGGAGAAGATTGCTGTTCCCGATGGTCTGTGGCAATAGCACCGTCACTCCTACATGTATCGAGATCAGTTTCAGATCTTTCACAGATATCGGAATCAGAATCAACAGCTTGTGATTCTGCAGTCAATGACTGCGGGTTAAAGTCTGGAAGAATTTCTCTGCTGTTTCTTTCCTCTCCTTGAGTGTGCATGGTGTCATCATGAGCGTGATGCTGCACTAACTCCAGACTCTCCAGAGATCCCATATCTGGGTCAGACAGTAGGCTGGTCCAAGGGCTGGTTCTGTCTGTGACTGAAGTGACCTCATTGAGTGTGCGGGGCTGTATTAAAGTTTCCTCAAAGTCTTCATGCTCATCCTCATCTTTTTCCTCTTCATCAGATGAGTGATCGCTGGAGCGGTGGTGGAGCTTTTCATCTTCAGCAGCAGCTGGTGACTGTCTGATCTCTGCTGGAGCTGGAGAGCTGATGGGCGAGACTTCATCTTCATCCTCCGACATCATGTCTGATTCCTTATGAAAGCGTGGCTCTATCTCACAGCTATCAGACTCTGATAATATCAGCTGATCTACTCCAGATGTTAAGTGCTCCTCAACCACATCAAGAGTAGCAGAGCTTTTATGGCTAGTTGTAGCCTCTTCTGTCTGGTGTTCACTTAAGCCTGAGTTAAAATAAAGAGTTAAAAATGGCTTTAAATAAACAGGAAGTCACACTAACAGTTAACAACTGACTCACCTTTTATGATGTTATTGACCTCTCCCACCAGCTGACTTGACTTCAGTAGCAGTCGAGTGGTGTCTGTCTCTGAGTCTCTATGCTCATCCAGCCTGGAGGTTCCTCTCAGCTCACTCAGCTTTGGGAAGGCTGGAGTGGACAACTTTCGGCTGAAATACCTTTGAATATCATCCAGCTCACTGAGGTTTTTCCTAAAAATGCAACAAAAAAAATTTCACTGACAATCAAAAACGAAAGCCAAAGTGGAATGAACTGTCAATCCACATAAATACCTAAATCTAGAAAATAAAAAAATGATCGGATTGTGTTGAATCTCGGGATGGGCAATAATATGGGCTTAAAAATATATCATGATATTTCTGGTATTTATTGTGATAACGATATCAATGACGATAATTCAGGGAATCCTGTTTGTTTAGAGAAAAGTATTGTCTTTCCTATTTTTACTCATAATAGGGTGTTGTGAGCATTACTGAGTACACATGTAATGTAATGACTGTTTAATTCATACTGCAAGCCGGAAGGTGCCCTTGCGCAGAAACGCCACATATGCATCGCAGAAGTAATACTACTGACACGCTCCATGAAATCCCTAATATGGACAAAGGTATCCAGTTAGCTCAGCTGAATAAAATGCACAACGATTGCACAAAATATATGGTTTATCGGTGTTCTTCAAGCAATCTTGGGTATTTTTGAGTACACACGTAATGCATTGACTGTTTAATTCATACTGGAAGGCGGAGGGCACCTTTGTGCAGAAACTCCATATATGCATTGCAGAAGTAGGCTATTAGCACTGATGCTCCAGGAAATCCCTAATATGGACAAAGGTATCCAGTTATCACTTTAGCTGAATAAAATGCTGATAGAGAAATTTTAACTGAGGAAACTTAAACACTATAAACATACGATTGCATCAACATATGGTTTATCGGTGTTCTTCAAGCAATCTTGGGTGTTTTTATAAGGATAAAGCATATTTATAATGCAATGCTAATCGACATAGCCTTTATCACTGTGTATAATACTATAAAATAGTATGATTTCTGCCTCATTCTGTGATATGAAACCATGTCTGATCACAAAAAGTGATTTCAAACATGACTTATGTTAAGTTAATTTGGAGAAAAAGCATGTCAATAAATGATATCTTTGTTGGACAACAGGTTTGTAAACAGGCTCATAAACATGCAAAACTGTATCGCACACATGCTGCTGTAGTACATTTATTCAGACTGATTTTTTGTGACCCTGACCAAACCTGTTCCAGATTGTAGAAGGAGCTCCTCATTTAGCGATAAACTCCTCCTCAGTTTCACACAGTATTGCCAACTTATCAATTTTGGTGCTAAATTTAGCAACTTTTCACACTACCCTAGCAACTTTTTCTTCCAAAAGCACCTTAGCAAAATATGTAGCTATTTTCAAAATGTATTTGGCAATTTTTAGCAACTTTTGATAAGTGACTCAAACGATAAAAAGGCACACAATTTCTATCTAAATTACAAAAAATGAGGAAACCAAAGATGCCTAGCAGTACACACATCACATGAATTAAGTTAGCTGCTATTTGCAATTTGCAATTTAATAATAATAATTGAATAACTGTTAATTTATGATACACCTTAGCTTGTACCTGTGATTGTTGATCAGTTAGTACACTGTAAGAAAAATAGAGAAAAATGGAAAAGGTACTAGTCATTTTTCAGGACATTATCTGTTATCCATTATCCGTTGTAACCCTGTAACCCGAAAACACAAAATACAATGGGTAATTTAAAACGCAGGTAAAAAACCCTTGAAAAATCAATACGGAAAATTCCTTCATATTAACATAGTAGATTGTGCCCTATTTTTACAGACTTTTCTTAAGAAGTGTCACATGATCCTTCAGAAATCATTCTAATGCTGATTTGCTGCTCAAGAAACATTTCTTAATATTATCAATCTTGAAAACACTGTTGATGTTTTTTGTGGAAACTGTGATAGATGACTAGAAAGTTCAAAAGAACTGCATTTATTTGAAACAGAAATCTATTGTAACATTATAAATGCCTTTACTGTCACTTTTGTTAAGGAATAGTATTTGCATATGTAGAACTTCTATTTGGAATACATGTGAAGAACAATATTTGATTTCATATGGAATCTGATCATTATCTGAGGTGACATCTTAATCTTTCATCCAGGAAGCAGAAGACAGTGTGGGTACCTGAGGGCAGAAAAGAGTGCTGAACTGGATGGGTGGGAATCTCCAGCGAAGGAGGACTGGATAAGTGACTCAAACGATAAAAAGGCACACATTTTCCATCTAAATTACAAAAAATGAGGAAACCAAAGATGCCTAGCAGTACACACATCACATGAATTAAGTTAGCTGCTATTTGCAATTTGCAATTTAATAATAATAATTGAATAACTGTTAATTTATGATACACCTTAGCTTGTACCTGTGATTGTTGATCAGTTAGTACACTGTAAGAAAAATAGAGAAAAATGGAAAAGGTACTAGTCATTTTTCAGGACATTATCTGTTATCCATTATCCGTTGTAACCCTGTAACCCGAAAACACAAAATGCAATGCATCATTGAAAATGAAGGTAAAAACCTGTGATTTTTTTTCTTAAGAGTGTAGCATACTGACTACTAATAAACTGCTTAAAACTATAATTGTTCAGAATGTGTAGTTTTACTAGTTTACTAGCTAATAAAAAAACAACTTGTAATCGTTCAAAAATGTTTGAGAATGCCTGAAATTCGTTCAAGAATACTTCTTGTGCGCAAAGAAAACAAAAATAACAACTTTATTCAACAATTCCTTCTCTTCCATGTCAGTCTTCAGTGTGTGTTCACGACACAAATCATGGTGTGCACCAAACAAGTGGACCAAAACCCACTGAAAAGAGATTCTGCAACACAGACCAAAGACAAATAAACAAACCAAAATCCAATACAGTTTGGGACAGGCGTCAAAATGCCATTTCCTTGTAGCAGATCGTTGTTTTTGTGTGCAATGAAGGAATTCCTAGTTCTGTTTTGACTCCTTTACATATTTTATAAGCTCTACTATATGAGTTATCAGCTGGTAAAGGGTTGATATTGGCAAACTTTGACCTGTAGTAAGTCAGTCTGGCCACTAGGAATGTACTACAACCATTGGAACATAACAAAAGCTTTTTGGTGAATTACAGTAATTGTTTTCTAAGAATAATTATGTACTGTATGTACAGTTAGGGAGATATTGGCAACATTTCACCTGTAGTAAGTGAGTCTTGTAACTACAAATGTACTACAACATTTGGAACATGAAAAAAAACAACTTTTGGTGAATTATAAAATAGTAAAATAGAAAATAGTTGTGTACTGTACATACAGTAAGGGAGATATTGTCTATGGCGACATATTGGTTAAATATTTTCTGTCAGTTTGCCCACAAGGCATTTACTATGGCGTTGTAAACATAATTTGTATTAATTATTGGACTTCGTTTTGTACTGAGAGGTAAATTTGCAGACGGTTCCTAAAGCAGCCTAGGCGAATATCCAGCGAATATCAAACCTAAAACTAACTTTACCGCGCTGTGTGAAAACACCCTCAGATTAAGAACGTGAGAAGATTGACAGATCAGACCTCACGCGACATCACTCCGCCTGATCTCCAGTCTTTATGAAAGGAGGAAAACTCGCGAAAGTCTCTCTGTAGGAGGCAGCAACAGGCGATGTGGTGTGATAACCAGTGTTGCCAATTTAGCCATTTTGGTGCTAAATTTAGCAACTTTTCACACTACCCTAGCAACATTTTCTTCCAAAAGCACCTTAGCAAAATATGTAGCTATTTTCAAAATGTATTTGGCAATTTTTAGCAACTTTTGATAAGTGACTCAAACGATAAAAAGGCACACAATTTCTATCTAAATTACAAAAAATGAGGAAACCAAAGATGCCTAGCAGTACACACATCACATGAATTAAGTTAGCTGCTATTTGCAATTTGCAATTTAATAATAATAATTGAATAACTGTTAATTTATGATACACCTTAGCTTGTACCTGTGATTGTTGATCAGTTAGTACACTGTAAGAAAAATATTGAGAAAAATGGAAAAGGTACTAGTCATTTTTCAGGGCATTATGTGTTATCCATTATCCGTTGTAACCCTGTAACCCGAAAACACAAAATACAATGGGTAATTTAAAACGCAGGTAAAAAACCCTTGAAAAATCAATACGGAAAATTCCTTCATATTAACATAGTAGATTGTGCCCTATTTTTACAGACTTTTCTTAAGAGTGTAGCATGCTAACTAACTACTAATACACTGCTTAAAACTATAATTGTTCAGAATGTGTAGTTTTATTAGCTAATAAAAAAATAAATAATTGTAATGGTTTAAAAATGTGTAAGTGTTCAATAATTCAATGTTGTATTTAAAAATACAGTTATTTATATTTTGTTATTATATAATGTATTTATATTATTTTACGAACAAATCTAAATTAACATATGAAATATATTTTTTGCTGAGATTTGACGTAGTGACACATTTTTGCATCGCAATTACGTAATGATGTCATCGCGCAATGACATCACAACATCATTTAGCAACTTTTAGCAACAAATCGACTTTCCTTTAGCAACTTCCCCTGAAAATTAGTTGGCAACACTGGTTTCACATCCACCTTCCGTCATGTCGCTCCGCACTGTCGCACACAGAAATATGTCAGCAACTAGACTTTATTGTTATTATCGCGGGAAGACTAATTTTTATCGTGGGGAGAATATTTACCGGTATATCGCAAACTATAAGATATCGCCCATCCCTAGTTGAATCCATAATACTTGCTATCTTAAATAATCTGTTAAATAACAAAATAAAGTAAACTTTAAATCTGACAAATAAACTACTGTTCTACTGTTCGAAGGCTTGGGTCTGCTTTTTAATGTTTTTGAAAGAAGTCTCTTATGCTCATCAAGGCTGCATTTATTTAATCAAAAATACAGTAAAAATTAAAACAATTGTGAAATATTATTACAGTTTAAAATAACTGTTTTCTATTTTAATACATTTTAAAATGCAATTTATTCCTGTGATGGCACATGATCCTTCAGAAATCATTCTAATGCTGATTTGCTGCTCAAGAAACATTTCTTAATATTATCAATCTTGAAAACACTGTTGATGTTTTTTGTGGAAACTGTGATAGATGACTAGAAAGTTCAAAAGAACTGCATTTATTTGAAACAGAAATCTATTGTAACATTATAAATGCCTTTACTGTCACTTTTGTTAAGGAATAGTATTTGCATATGTAGAACTTCTATTTGGAATACATGTGAAGAACAATATTTGGATTTCATATGGAATCTGATCATTATCTGAGGTGACATCTTAATCTTTCATCCAGGAAGCAGAAGACAGTGTGGTACCTGAGGGCAGAAAAGAGTGCTGAACTGGATGGGTGGGAATCTCCAGCGAAGGAGGACTGGGACGCTTTCTCTTCCTCATGCAAACTCTGATGGAACATTCTTATGTTGTCCATATGCTCATCGTGGCGATCTGTCACACTGTACCTGAACACACATCCCCACAGTTATTACTTCAGACAGTAAATCTGACAATAAGGCAGCTTTTCTATATCATTTTCCCTAAACAGATACCTGTCAGAGAGCAGTCTTTCAAATTGATCAGGAGGCGTGCTGATCCTCTGCTCTGAGAATCGACCGAATAGTATTTGCATATGTAGAACTTCTATTTGGAATACATGTGAAGAACAATATTTGGATTTCATATGGAATCTGATCATTATCTGAGGTGACATCTTAATCTTTCATCCAGGAAGCAGAAGACAGTGTGTAGTGCACAACAAAAACTTTTTCAACATTGAAAATAATAAGAAAGGTTTAGCTGTAAATGGCTTACACTTGAGTCTGGAGCAGCGGCCTCGTGGGCAGGCAGTCTTTGTGCACGGAATTCCTGCACTGCCCTCAGAGGAGACACAGAGACCTTCAGCTGCCCCTGACACTGCCCGCTGAAATCAGTGATGTTATACCAGCCACAAACTGACTGAAATCCTGACAGAAGTGGTGACAGGTCAACAGACACGAATCCAATCACCCGCTCAACCTCTGCAAACGAAAACATAATGCAAAACTAATCTTTTATGGCGAAATATGGTGCTAGGGTGTTGTGAATGATTGCTATGTCATTACCTCCTTTATGCCAAACTTTGAAAACCAAGGACTGCTGAGGATCCAAAAGTAGCTCCTTCGACAGTCTGAAAACAAAAAACAGCCACGAGTTTAACATGGGCCCTGTTTCCACCTTGTATTAAGATGCATACATGCATGACAGCTTCCACCTGGGTCTTTACATGCATCTCCTGTGACCACTTGTGCTCGGATTTCATAGAGATCCTCCCCTCTTTTGTATAATTTGTCACAATTCACTTTCTGTGAAAAGGAATGTCAAATGGGTTTACCTGCATTCTTGCTGGTGGTCCCACACGGGGCAGTCACTGTCTTTGATGAGTGCTGTGGTCACTGTGCCCGGGGCATCGGCGATGGCGTAAGAAACACAGCAACTAGGCAATCCTCCACCACGCTCAGCGAGAGGACAACCTGAGGATGACAACAGCGTTAAAACAAGGTACTTGTAAACGAGAATGAAGTAAAATCAGGAATCCCTGTGGTTATTTTACCCTTCAGGCTCAGATGCATGGCTCTGTCCACAGTTATGTTGGCTATGAAGGTGTCTTCATTGTTGATCTCTTTGGATGGTGGAGCTTCAGTGTTCATGGTTGATTTGATCAGCTGTCTGCTGGGGGATTGAAATGGTCTTGACAGCACTGTGGTGGGGAGGCCTCCATCCTCCTCATCTTCTCCTGAGCTGTTGAGCTCCTCAGGGGCTTGAGGCTCATGTGGTACACAGTCTGTTGTGACAGTGATATGGACTCTGAGAGCAGCGCCACTCAGGTTTACAGCAGAGCGCTTGAACAAAGGATACACACCTACCATGAGAGAGAACCATGTGTTAGTCAGGAGAGAATACCAAAATGTTACCAAAATATTAGATTAGTAATGAGCAGAGGACACATCATTGGAAAGTAGGATTTTTCTGAGATCTACTAAAAATGGGGTTCAAAATAGGGACTGAAATGTTCTTCAACAAAATGGCAATGAAAGGAAATGCTTAACCTTCAGAAATCTCAAACTATGATCTCAAACTAAACTATACCTATACATGTTGTTTTATTTTACATTTATTTGATATACAGTTAGCAGTTTTTTCAACCCCATTACCAAATAGTTCTCTATAAATAAAGTCTTAATAGATTAATAATAAAAAAAAACACCAGGATAGGCCTTAGGTTTGGCTCAAAATATTGGCTAGTATTTATATAAACTTTAAATTAAATTAAATTAAAATATACAATCATTATCATTTAAATGGTCTGTAATAACATTAATGTTATAGAACATTTCTATTTCAAATAATGCTGTTCTTTTGAATTTCTATTCATCAAAGAATCCATCAGCAAATCAGCATATTAGAATGATTTCTGAAGGATCATGTGACACTGAATACTGGAGTAATGATGCTGAAAATTCAGCTTTGCTATCACAGAATTACATTACAATACATTCAAATAGAAAGAATAGTTTTGAACTGTAAAAATATTTCACAATATTACTATTTTTACTGTATTTTGGATCAAATAAAAAATGCAGCCTTGGTGAGGATAAAAATCTTTTCAAAAACATTAAAAAAAAATATGTTACCAAGCCAATACTTTTGAACGGTAGTACATATAAAGTATTTACTTGTCTTGCAAAATTCCGTTTAATAAGGGTGAAATTATCATGTGGTAACAGTGTTGCTGCATAATGATTTTTATAACGATTATATAATAGGCCAGCATAATATTATATAAAAATATAAAGCTAAAGTGCACAAATAGCCTCTTCACAGATAAATAAAAAGCAAATATCTACCACTGATTGTTTGATGGTGCTTCAAGGTCCCAGCAAGAGCAGAGAGATCAACAAAAGCAGAGCCCACCAGACGGTCAGCGTTATGAGGCCGGACTCTCTTCTCCTTCCCAAAGGCCACCCACACCTGCACCTCCATCCTCTCCTCCCTCAGGTACCAGCGCAAGGGTTGAGTCCTCCTCAGCACCACGCTTTTGCTCCCCTGAAATGCCACGGTGGCTAAACCTTCTTCTCCTTCACTCTCGTCTGGAACGGGATGTCTAAGTTCAGAGCAGAAGGTCTGCTGGTTGTAGAGTTTGTATCTGTAGTAGCAGTAGGTGGAACGCTGTAAGTCTTCATGTCCTGGCAGCAGCAGGCAATGGATGGGCAGCCACGCTCTAGGCATGGATAGTGATAATGCCAGAGACTTTGTGCTTTCTTCCAAAGTGACTTCATCCTCTATATCTGCCTCATCTTCACTGTCTTGCCCCACGTCCCATCCCAGTCCACGGGCTGAACTGATGACTCGCTCTCTATCTGCATGATGGGAAAAACTGATGGAGACTTCAAGTCCTCCTGCTGAGGTCAGACTGTGAGATGAAGTTGTGCTCTGAGGTAGAGAGAGACTGTACCAGCCAGATATGCCTTTAAAAAATATATTTATATACCATTGTTATATTTCTATTCATTTTAAATACTTTCAAAAAGTATAAACTAAAAAAAACCTAAATATTAAAACATAGCCAAATAGAAGACAAAAGTTTTTTAAACGTTAATATGTAAAAAAACAAAAAAATGTAAATAATAAAAAAATATATATATATACAGTATATATATTTTTAAAATAAATTACGTAATTACATTTTTATATGTATAAACTAACAATACTATATATATATATATAGATATATA